AAGAAAAGGTTTTAAATTTTCACTGAATTTTTACGTTCAGAAATAACCACATCAGTGATTATTCAAAGCTTTGAAATTACAAGCATGTTCTTAAGACAATGAACAATAGTTTTATTTTGCTATCTGCTAGAACATGTAAAATGTTTCATGAGTTTGAATATAAGAAATGAATTTTATAAAGTTCTCTAATTTAGATTAAGCCTTTGTAGTGTATATAGAAGTGACATTTTCTAAAATTCATGAAGTCAAACTTCAGAGGAAGTTCAATCTCACAGGCTTTCTCTCTAATGGCAAAGCAATGGGAAAATCTCATTGAAACTAACTGAGAATTTAGCCTTCCAAATAACTTTTTATAGAACAAGTAACTTGAATGCTAATAGTCCTGACAATTGCCTCTATTATCTGTTTGTAAACATGCCCTCGGCCACACCGCCAAAAAACAAAAAAAACAAAAAAACCCTCAAAACCAAAAACACTACATATAATCTTGATGTTAAGATACAAATGTTAAAAACTTCTAAGGGTTGTTTTACCTAAGTGGTGAATTTATTAATACTTTTTACTAAGGACTTGAACCCCACAAAACTCCTGTACATAATTGACTGGGGAAGGTTTTTACTTTTTATTCTAAGATATTTTGGAAAATATGACTAGGCTTTGACTTATTAGATTAAAAATTGTTTCTTTTTCTGTTTTAAAATGAGGTATTAATTTGTACCCTGCTAAGATTTTTTTAAATTACAATTAGATTCTTGCCCACACTTTAAGCCCAAAAGTGATGGTTTATTTTATAATACAATTTCAGCATGGATTGGTCTCACTACATTATAAGTATATAGTCTTACTGTAAACTTAGCTTTTTACAGCATTTAGATCCTAATATTGGCAATGTAAAATATGTAAATAACCTAAAATAATAAAATCTATCCAAGATGTTTTGATAAATATATTGAAATATTAATAATACATTACTTTGATCTACTAAAGACTTGATATATGTCAGCATTTAAAAAATGATATTATATTAAAAGTGTGGAGTTTTAAGAAGTCATTATTTTGAAATTTGGGTTACAATAATTCCTTTCAAGAAAAAAGTACTCATCACCTTAAATATTGACAGAAACACTATTTTTGTTTTTGATCAAAAGCTATAAAATTGGATAAGGCAATGAATGAATGACTATCTTAGAAAATGCTTTAAGTTTTTATAAGCCAGATCTTCCAAAACATTTTCCTAATAAAATTAAATTGGTAAAGCCAAAGACTTCATTATAATTTGAATGGTTTTTGTAGTTCAACAGGATTGGAATACTCAATTGAGTCCTTAATCAAAAGCTTAGCATTTCTGTTCAAGCAGAAGGAAAATTAAAAAATACATATGTATGTATTTAGTATATTTTTCATCTACAAGGTGGTTTCTATAAAATGGGGAGTGTACATTATTTAGTAACAGAAATAGAGACTATTTTACCCTAAAACATTTTCAACATAAATTATTATAAAGTCACAATTCAAGGGAAATACGTGTATTTTATACAATTTCAATCATAATGTGTTTATCACATTAAAGAAGATCAAGGCACTGTGGTTCAGATGAGTCCAAATTTCTTCCTTGCTATATATAAAGAAGTCAGTTATCTATATCAAATAATCTTTTTATTAACAATCATTTGAACATGTGATTTCACTTATTTTTTGTGCATTTCTTTGATAGTGAATTAAAGCTGATACAAATTTGCCTTTAACTGTTTGGGGCAGTGGCCAAACTGATGTGATTGGGGAGAGGTAGAGAAGTGTAGCATTTTGTAAAAATTCTTTAATTATTTCATAGAGGTAAACATACTTGAAGGCTAAATTCCTGGCCTTTTCAAATAAATGCAGACCTACCTTGATTTTCACAATAAGCCTCTATTAATTTCCATGAAACAATGTTTTCACAAATGTAAGGCAAAACAGATGTTAAGTTACTTAAAAGAACTCATAATTTAAATAATTAAAACTAATTTGTGTTTAAAGCTATTTGCAGATTTATTAGAGAAACAAATACAAATATGCATTTCTACAGAACTGTTTTTTTTTCCAAAATGAGCTTAAAACTTGTTCCACAGTTTTTAATTGTTTATATATCTATGGTAACCCAAGTATTGGCTTCTGTACCACTTGTAATGAGACAATTGCCCTTCCATTGCAATTATAAAAAACTATTTAAAAAAAAATTCGGCACATACACGTTAAATATTTTTCCTTAAAAAAATAATCTAATCAAAATATTGAATACTTTAGATTTAAACAATATTTTATTTACAAATCTGATTTGATTACTTTATTAATTACACAAGGTAATGCTTCAATTTTCAAGAACAGTTTTTTTTTTAATATATAGACCAGTGGAATGACATCCTATCTAGTAATATGTACTACACTTCATTTTTTTCAAAATTAACATGACAAGTTTTCTAATACTTTCATTTTTTTGGAAAAAATGTTATTTTATTGGGGCACATATCTGATGAAACAAAAAATAACATGCAGAAATCCAAAAATAATCTGTTAAAGTAATATGATACTTACCCTTTATGTAATAAGACATCTATGAACAACAGTGCATAACAATATTATGTATTCATGTTTATGAGAAACCAAGCAGGAGGCAAAATGAGTTCATTCTGCTTTCTAATCATGTGCAATTTCATATGGCTGTTTGCATCATTTAAATAAAATGTGTACATTAAATTTCTAAGACTGCATTGCACCCAAAATTATTATGGATAGCCATGCTTGCCCTGTATTTAATGAGTGATGAATTTCTCCTACTAGCAGAGGAACTGGTCTCAAATCGTGTCTGTGATGTAAATAGTATTAAATTATATTTTCATCTCTTTTCAATTGCTGCCTTGGAAAGCAAAAATTCCCTTCTTGGAGAGGACTTACAGTAAGTAAAATTTACTTAAGGACTCAGTGAGGAATCAGCATGTGAATTAAGAATGTAATATAAGAATGGATTAAAAAAATGTGATTATCAGTACCTTTGTTGAAACCTATTACCACCATTAAAATTTCCAAGGAAAGATAGGGCCTGTTACATAGGGATTCCATTCATTGTTAAATTACTAAAATCTACCAATTTAATGCTTTCATACTGTTTATTTTTTCCAATAGAAAAATAAATCTCATACATTAGAAGTGGTACACAAAAAACTGGGATAAAATTTATCAGATTCTTGATAGCACCATTTACACATTCTTAAAGTAAACATTAATATGCACTTTCTTAGAAAGCGATATAAATATATAATACAGGACTTGCTAACCTCTGTTAACCATCTGAATACGATGGAATAATCTATCTCTACTGTGCAGGTAGGCTGTGCATGGTGGTGTGGCAATATAATTTTAAAAGTTTGTTACAGATGTGATGGGAAGCTGGAAGGAGTCGAATAAGCAGAAAAAAGAGCTTAGATCTATTGTAAGCAATGAGTCGAAATGAGCCGTTACAGGTTAGAATTTATCTTTGTTTCTGATCATTCAATGAGAAAATGACTTCCACAGAAATAGATACATTTAACTGTTTCAGGAGTGGGGTGGGTGAGGTGAAGTAGGATTGAAAGTCCTACAGGTAATAGCAATAACTGGAAGTGCAGACGAAATTGGTCTTCAGTGCAAAGAGGAAGGCAGCCGTTTAAAAAGTCTAGGTGCAATGTTGTGGTGCTGAAAGAAAAGCTCCCAGTGATAAAGGAAAAAAAAAAACTGCAATGCAACTTCAAGCAGTAATTTTGTGGTGCTGAAAGGACAGCTCCCAGTGTTGAGGAAAAGATCTTGGATCTAGAATGAGGTGTCCAATCTGTATGATAAACAGCACACTGTGTCTCAGAGCGCCCATTCAATCTCAGTAAGTAAATGAAATATTGATTGAAAGTGACCCTGAAACAGAATGCATTAAAAAGACATAGAAAGCTGCAGAACTGAGGTAATTCGTATTCAGCATGTTCACCAGCCTCCCTATAGCAAAACAAGTCTATAAATAGTTGCATTTCATAAGATGTTTGGCCCTTGTATCATCAGTTTTCTCCATTTTGGATCAGTATAGCTGAACAGCCATTGTTACATGCCTACCTGTGGCAGTTTGAAGCCATACTAATTTTCTTGCAGTAAATTAAAGCATCACATCACAAATCAATTCTACATGGTCTATAAATTTCAGAGAATAAGATTTTAGACAGCATGAAGCTGATTTACACATAATGCACACAAACCCTTATCTGCTACCATAAATTAAAATGTAAATATCTTCAATTTAGCTTTCAGTTTTAACTAACATATAACCATGCCAACTAGCAAAAGTTTATAATTCCCATATACAATTGAAATTGAACTGAGTGCATTTTCAGCAATACTAGCTAATAAAATACACATAATTGTTTAAATGGTTTGGCTTCAAAGTAACATTAAATTCCAGATGAAATGCATGGGCTCCACAGTGGACTACTGGAATTTTGAAATAAAAAGTTGAAGATTTGCTAAGACTGAACAAAACATTTTAAAGACCCAACATTTGAAATGCTTCTAATACACATCCTAGATCACTTCCTTTCTCTTTTTCAACTGAGTGGGGCCCCAATCTTTGCCTTTGTTCACTGCTGACTCTGAGACAGCATGGTGAAAGAAATTTACATAGATATTATTTACTGTTAATGTATTATAAATGATCTGAGACTTGTGACATGCAAGGAAAAAATGAGACGGGAGACAAGTGATGCTACATGATGAACTAAGCACATTTATAATGATAAAATGAGTAAATATAATAGCGGCAATGCTAACCACTGATTCCACGAGATACACTATTTGTCAAAACTTACACAGCTACAGAGTATCGACGATAAATAGTCATTACCAATTAACACAGTTTACTACAGCTTTTCTCTTTCATTTAAACAAGCATATCATTCCCTTTTAAAATCATTCTCTAAATAAATATTTAGAGATAGAGAACTCTAAAATGAAATAACAGTCCAATGTTAAAAAAACTAAAAAAAAATGAATCTACTCTTACAGTTTGACAGAAATGAATTATTAATAGTGGAAGGGGAAGGGATCAGGAAATAATTTCAAGTTCTCAATGTCCGAAAGTAAATTGCACAGTAAATCAATATGAAATGAAGAGTCCATATAGTTCAATGAACAAAAGGGAAAGTTCATGAGGACAAAGATCACAGTTCAGAGAGAGGCTGGACGAAATTCAGACATGGAGCATCACACTCATTGTTCTTTAATTGGTTGCACAGAAAGGAGCAGCTGGGATGCCATTTAGCTTGCTAGGATGGACGTAATCAATGGGTTGAAGTTGAGATGGAAGTAATTCTCTTTTGTAATTCAGTTGCTCAGCCAGATGATCCAGAGGTAGCCAGCATTTTATTTTTGTCCATTGAATTTAAGACTGCATGCACAGCATGAGGAGGTGCTTGGGGATGGATGCCCCTATGAGTGGCCTTGAGTGGGCAAACTCAGAGGTTAACAGATGGTGTGTCAAATGGCCTGGACAGTTGGCACTCAGGAGAGGTACAGAAGAGGGTGACAGTTGTTGGGTCTTGGGAACAAAGGCTTACTTTGAAATGACCTGTCAAAAAGCCTGACAAAGGTAGATCACACTACCTCTCAAGATAAACTGCCTCTTCTAAATAAGCATGCAGGAAATACTGTCTGGTTGGTGACATAAAAATGCTCCACAAAACATGCAAATTACCGAGTATTAGAAACTGCATTGGCTGCTAGCGCCATGCTGCAAAGACTCCATCATGGGAGCGAACAGCTAAATCACAGATAGCTTCACAGTAAAATCTACATTCACAATACTAATAGGTTTCTAGTGTTAACAAATTATACACAATTATAAGCTCTTAAAATGCAACATACTTATCAAGCAGTTGCAGATAATGAAACATTATCAGCTATCAATAATTTGTTGGCACTTTCACTTTTGTTTATAAAATTTCCAATACACTGTACCACAGTTATGTGTCTAAACAGTGAGGATGTTAATGGAGTAATGACTGTTCTACTGGCCAGGCGATGGGATCAGTAGTGAATTCAGTGCTTAAAAACAAATGTACAAACCTCTGAAGAGGTGGGACTCCATGTGAGAACTTTTGTTGAACTTACAAATGATGAAGAATGGGCCATGGCCAGCATGCAGCATTATTTCCATTGTCTAGTTCAGATGGAGAACAGGTGCTTTTATTGATCTGTAAACTTACCAATATAATTTTCCACAGTTTTAACCTTTTAAATATTTTACAGTGCTTTTATGCAACTATATTGCTTTTTGATCATTTTAAATTTAAAACTTATTTTCAAAATATTGTTTCCTACTTCACTGTGCCCTAAGCAGGAAGTAAGACTTACATGACAGTGCTTTGGCCTCACTCCATTTTAGGTCACTGACCCCACCATACTCAACCTAACAGTAGTTAATTTAGTGTTATCTAGAACTAATACTGAAAACTATACGCATATCCCTGTCTACATTCAATCATTAAACTACAATAATGCTGGTAAAATGGCAGGCTTAAATCTTACACTAGAAACACCTCTGACAAATATACACAAGCAAAGTATAGAGAACAAAACAGATCAAGAAAAAATTCTTTCTATGAAACATCTGGTAAAACACATATTATTTACATATACACATTGTCAACATAGTCGCATTCATTTGCATAATTATATATTAATAACAGAAAAACTTCACTTCTGCAAAGTACAGTACATCCTTCTTGAAAATGGGGTAAAGGAGGGGTTAAAACAATCTGGTATATAATTGGGCACTCAACCCACTTTCTGAGGATTGGCAGCCCGAACTCCTTGCTCATATGTGATCCTTTGTGTAATTAAATACTGAGCAGCCTGTGTTGCAGCTGGTGTTCCAGTAATGGTTACCTTCCGATTCCTTGTGCCAGGTACGAATTCTCCTTTTTTGGAGATCTGTATCCTTGCACCAGTCAACTCCTGGTATTCCACTAATGTTTTCCCTCCTTTGCCAAGTATTGCACCAACTAAGTTTTCTGGCACTGCTATTTCAACTACATCCTTTGATCCATCTGTGGATTTTTCTGTTCCTAGAATGGCACTGGCAGCTAGGGGAGAAGCAGCTCCAAAATATCCATTGGTTGCAGCAGTAGCAGCAGCCAGGCTACCTAATGCAAATGTCCCCGCCGTACCACCAGCTGTGCTGCCACTGGCTGAGGCTTCACTGGCATAGGTGGCCAACAAATTGGCTGCTGCTGCTGCTGGGTTGGCACTGGCAGCTGCTGCAGCCAAGGCCCCTGTTGCTGCTGCTTGACTGAGACCTAAACCTAATGTGTTGAGATTATATCCGTAGCTGGCTAAAGTATTAAGTGCAGAGGTGATGGCCACCAGGTCATTGCCCGTGAAGCCAGATAAAACTGCTGGAAAGGCTGCAACGCCAGCAAGGTTAGCATGTCCTAATAGCCCTGCGGCTGCTGCAGCGGTTGGTAACACTTCAGCAGTGTTTGCATAAGGAGATCCGGTTGGGTTGGAATTTGCCACTGGACCTGTAACATTGGCATAACTGATATTGAGACAGCTGCCACTCTGTGGATCCTCTTGTATCTTCTGGATGATAAGTTCAACAGCTTTTCGGTTTTGTTCAGGTTCTCCACTCACAGTGACAACCCTCTCTTGCAAGTTGATCCCATCAGGTTTCTGGGAAAGCTGCACCCAAGCCCCTGACTGCTCCATTATAGCCTTCACAGTAGCACCTCCCTTCCCTATTATGAGACCTGCTGTGCTGTTGGGAACTATAATCTTTACCTGTAATTAAAAAAAATACGTATAAATAATACTTCTGTTTTGCGCATATACATCATATTACTTTGCTATCCTAGCAAAAGTAAAATAATAAGTTGAAAATTAATTTAAACACAATTTATGAAAGAGAAATAGCACAACTTCTAAAGTGACTTTTATCACACTTTAATACAATTATCTTGTAAAATCAGAATTTTTAAAAGAAAAAGCAATTTTCAGTTTAGAATTATTAGACAAAATTTTCCTTGAGATTTGTGCATTTTGTAGTACAACTTATGAGAAATCAGTATGTTTTAAAAAGAGGGTATCATAACTATACATCAATGGTAACATTTTTATATAGCTCCAAGATAAAAATACTGTTGATATTCTTCATCTACTGTAGCTTTAAGAATATCTTTGGTCTAAAACGTATAAAAACAAAGAGTGCAGGATAAAGAGTTAGTAAAGATAAAAGTAGTAATGTTCTAGCTTGAGCCCGTTCAAAAAATTAGGTTCACGTTCCTTATTACCTAGTAATTTTTGTGTCATTCAAACTCTACTTGTTTCACGACTAATATTTTCTGAGAACAATAAAATTATTACTAGCAGTATCCTGATTTTTCATCTAAACTGATACACAACATGTAACTATAAAAATAATAAATATTTCTAAATAATGTAAAAATTTCCATCACTTTTAAGTAGGTGAACGCTATTTGAGAATATTACCTGGCTGTCCTACTTAAATTTGTAAAATGGATATTTTAACTAGTTACTTTTCTTTCTGGCACTCATAGGTACATTTTAAAAAGCAGGGCTTACAAACAGATTATCAACGGTGACTGAAAAATTACTGGAGTCACATGAATACTTACAGTGATCTTATGTGACCATACGAAGTACAGGCATTTTAGCTAATTTGTATTGAAACATCCACCCACGAAACCCAGCCTATTTTGATTTATTTAATTACAATCAAATACTCTTATAGAAAGTATAAAATCAGTAGGGTATTTTGCATAACCCCTAAGATTGAAATATAAATATTGAAATTTTTATTTTGGTGGCACAAAGATGTCCATGGCACTGTTCTATGACTCACTGGGTAGGTCAGTAACTGTAAGTGCTGTGTGTCACGGACAAAGCCCTGAAATAACCGCCTTCCTGTTCTAGATATTAAAATCGGCAGGCTGAAATAACTTCTTGAAGAATGAACAGGAATTAGTTGAGATAGTCTTTGAAATATTTCACCAGCTAGTTTATAGCAAGTATTGCCATGCTCTCTTTAAAAAATAAAAGCCATACATTTCTGGCAATTTTGCTCTTGAAGGTAGCAGGCAGTGAAAGTATAGATTCAAATTCTAGATTGGGTCATCTCATAAACGTTTACATGTGTTAACACACATGTGCATACACACACAACTTTTCTTTTCCATACATGTAATTGATAGGAACAGGATTTTGTTTCATTCCAATTTGTCTATAAAATAATTTCATTTTAAATTGAAACAACCTAAATTGCCTAGAAACATTTCTTAGGAATATCAAATATATCCTTCATATCCCTGATTAATAAGTGCAATGGGTTTCAAGAAGTAGACTAAGAAATAATTTTTTAAAACATGTTAATCTGTTAATTTTGCTCACAGTCTTTTTTTATAGAAAATTATTTGCTGAAATGCTGTAGTATGTTAAAGTGTTATAATTAGAAAGTTAAACCATGATTAACTTCTTACACTAATTATAAAGATGAATTAGAATCACCCTTCTATTTTATCCTGTGCACATGAAGTATTGAGAAAATGTACTTTTAAGGGTTTAAATATCTGAAGGTTAAATATGATATTTTATAAATAAGTACCTCTTTTCAAAATCAGAACATTTTTATATAGTTGAAAACATTTATATACTGGCAAACTATAGTGTTTTAACATAATTTTTATGTTTTAACATAATTTTTACAAAGAAAAATATATTAACCAAAACTTCAAAAGGGCTGTTATTCAATTATTTAAAATTCTAATCTCACTATTGTTTTGCTGAATGTAATAATTACCTGCATGAATATAACCCAGGAAGAGAAGAGCAAATGAAAGGATAACTATGGGAACTGTCTTACAGACTGTCAATAAAGAGTAATGAAATATATAAATTTAAAAATCACCTTAAACTTCTATGAGATGTGGGAAGGTAGTATTAACTTCTACTACACTGCACACCAGTTCACCAGTCTCCCACTATATTTACTATTCTATTCTTCCAAAAGAACTTTCAAATGTGTGCACAGTACTTCCATTACTGCATATTAGTCTGTCCTTTCTTTTTTTTTAATTTGTCCCCTTAGTTATTTTTCTTTCTTTCCAATATATAAAGATTCTGAAATAATGTATAGTTCGGAAATGGTGTGTAAACTTTTCAAAAAGTAAACATGTGGCATAAAAATCTGTCTCTTTGTAAACTGAAAAATGATACCATGACATCTATCTTTATTATTAAAGATGTCCTTCTAATACAAATTACTGTCAGACCACACACACACACACACACACACACACACACACACACACACACACACAGAGTCATCTTTATGTAATAAGTACTATTCCCTGGATTTTATTTTAACTATTTGAAATAATCTTATATAAAATACTGTCAGCCTTAATTGCTATTTTATCAAATAGGGATGTGGTCTCCAAATTTTGCTGGTAGAACTTACATTGTCCACATATAACTTAATAGAGTTGTGTTATGATTTAAGAGAAAATATTAATGATTACATATTAATATTTGTGGTAGCACTTCTTAACTTTAGATAGTAATAATTCTGCATAAGATTACTGATCTTAGAAATTAAATTAAAAAATAAAATAAAATATAAATATAAAAAGTTATTAAATTCCAAATTGAAAAAATACAAACACTGAATATACTAGCCAAGGGAACATGTCACCCAACTTTTACTTATTTTTGACCCAAGAAAATGAAAAAGCTCTCATGGGGCTCCTGGGTGGCTCAGTCAGTTAAGCATTTGACTCCTGGTTTTGGCTCAGATCATGGTCTCATAGTTCATAAGTTCAAGGTCAACATGGGGCTCCCTGTTTGGGATTCTCCTTCTCTCCCTCTCTCTCTGCCCCTCCCCTATTTGCTCACTCTTTCTCTCAAAATAAATAAATAAATTTTTAAAAAGATGTGGAATCTTTTTAAAAAATTTAAAACTTCTCATATTTACACTTTTTTCATGAAGAATTAAAAAACGTTTATGTATCTATTTGCATACTTAATCTAATATGGACACTAACAAGAACAACTCTTTGAAATGGAGAAATTGAGACAAAAGGAAAAATTAATCCATTTGCATAATGTTTCAGAAAAGTAGTGTTCTATTTTATGTGTCACATCAGAGCCAAGAAGTGAGGCACTAGTGTGGAAGCCTGGAGATAGTGGAGAACTGAATACTGGCTGGGGTAAGGAAGAGAAAAGGAGGGTGGAAAATTATGTAAGATGGTCTACTCGCTTACTTCTTAGATACAGGAATACAGCATTTACCAAAGAAAAAGTCTGTGCATTGATAGTATTTGCATCCCCAGTAAGATGATCCATTGCACATTTTAATTATATGTATGGCTTTATTTTTATTGGTGAAATCTGTAACATACTGACTCACCTATGTATATGCATGCTTATTTCTAAATCTTTTTTTTAATGTTTATTTTTTAGAGAGAGAGAGAAGGCACACGTTGGGGAGGAGCAGACAGACAGGGAGACACAGGATCTGAAGCAGGCTCCAGGCTCTGAGTTGTCAGCAAAGAGCCCGACACAGTTGAACCTGGAGATCATGGTCGAATGCTTAACTGACTGAGCCATCCCGATTGCTTAAACGACTGAGCCACCCAGGCGCCCCAATTATGGATTCTAAAGAAAAAATCTTTATTTAAATTTTCCTGATTCCTAGACTTATAATTATGTATTATCAAATAAACATGAGATAAGATTAACAATATAATTATACTAATTTTACTAGCATCAACTGCTTTCCAGGAAAAAAAAAGTAAATAAATGACGATTTCTCTATGTGCAGCTAAAGAAGAACCTCTATGGAAATCCTATGAAAAGATAAAAAACACTAAATAGGTAGGTTTTAAAGTTGATATGTTTCTGATTAAAAATAAATATTAAGACAAATTTACTCCTTTGCCAAATAATAACTATAACTCATTATGGTCTTAGAAAGCAGTAAGAGTGTCTGTAGTCCTATTTCATCATCATGGCAGTAAAATTATTTCATAAAGCCTTACTTTAATATACATGCAAAATAAGCTCCATTATAATTTAAGATACCTCAATTAATAGCAAGTACTATTTTATTTAGGGCTGCCATATTATATACTACATATGCATGGACTTCCATTTATAAAGCAATGACTATCAATAGTGGATACTTTTCATTCACTCATTCATTCATTCATTCATTCATTCACTCACTCATTCACCCAACATCTGGTCTTCCTTCTTCTGGCAACAGATCCCAGTTTTCCCTTGGAAACATCCTCTCTCATTCTTTGTACCTGTGCTTCAGGTAAGGATGACAACTTTCCAATGCACTAGCAGTGGAAACATAACAGAGCCTGACACATCAAAATTCCCACACCTCTGGCAGGTACTGATTTGGGATTAGGAAAACGGCCCAGGATGATCCAGGAAGATTTAACCTGAGAATTTGGAAAAACTGTTGGGATAGAGATACTTGTACTTCTAATCTAGTAGAGCACAAGCCTGACATTACTAGTTACTATCTTGTCACCATATGGAAAGAGAAAAAACCTGACTGAAAATAAAGTTAACCTAGATAAAAGGAGACTCCAAAAATGAGAGAGAAAATTTCTGACAGCCTTCTGGCATCTGAATCTAACCATGTTAAAGTCTGCACAGATCAATATAATTCCCTTTTTTAAAGTCACTTTGAGTTGGATTTCTATAATTTATAACCAGCCAACTAGTATATTAGAAACTGTTTTTACATT